TCCCCGCGGACAACGAATTTCTCGAATCCGACGTCCGCGCGGACGGCCATGTTCCTGTTAATGTTCGTGATACATTTTCAATTTTTGTTATCTTACAAGAGTCTAGCACATACTGCGCATGGGAGAATGGATGTTTTCTCTGTCTGGGAGTATTGCAGCGGTTGAAAGGGGCTTTTCAGCAATGAACTTACAAACAAAACAAAAAAAAACATTACGTACTGGTCTTAAACAAGAAGCGTTAAACGCAATTATGAACATCTACCTAAATGCAAAACCCCTTTCAGATTTCAGTGCAGAAACCTCTGTAAATCATTGGCTTGATTGTGGAACTGGCAAACGTCATCATATTTAATTCATTTAAAAAAACGCAGTACCCTCGGATAAATTGACATTCCAGATAGCTTGACTTTAGTCATTTAAATTATTTCATAAAATAAATACTATGTTACTATTAGTAACCTAGTATTTCTCTTATTACTGTATAATGTAATCATAGTATTTGTAATCCTAGTAACTACTAATTCATTGTGCAATTTACATAAATATTTGTAATAAATAAGAGAAAAGTATGTTTTTATTTATTTAGAACATACGGGTTAGTTTCAAATGAGGACGGGTACATTGTTGGACATGCCGTCCTCGGGGACGGGTAAAATTTCTGAGTTTTTTCGAGCCCTGATATATACACACGTTTACATTTGCAAAAATATGCACATTTATTAATATTTGTTAAACACTTTATGTCCAATTCGAACATCTTAAAAATACATATTTGTCATTTTTTATTAACTTTTAAAGAATAATTTAAATTAATGTTTCAATACATCTTCAATCTTTAAAATTTTATAATAATTTATTTCATTCCCTCTTTTAACTAAAAAAATCTTATTTCAAAAAAGTAATTAACGTTTACAATACTAAGATTTTAGTTGACATTGCCCTTGGAAAATTTCAGTAAATAAATTATCCAAGCATTAAGAGCATACATTTTGTTTGTAAATGAGTCAAACATATATTTTTTAAGTAGTATTAAAATGTTTGCTCAGAATTTCTTTTTTAAATGATGTTTTTTAGAGCTACAGTTATACCAAGAACGAGAAATAAAAGATGTGGAAGAAAAACACGCTCTTGCAACAAAGACTCTTCAGGAACACATTGAGCAGCTTCAAAAGAAATGTGCAGAACTCAATCAACATTCCATGAGTATGGAAGATGCAATGCGTAAAGATACAGATTCAAAACTCCAGGTACAATCCTAAATGTTTTAAAGCCTTTATTTTTACACACACTTTTAAAATGAAAGGGTAAGAAACAAAGTACGTAAAATGAAGGTAGAATAAAAGGAACCGATGAGCAAACTACTATTAATGGCTAATGCAAAGCAGATGAGAAAAACAAAATTAGGAAATATTGCAGATATTTTTTTTATACCAAACATGAAACAATCAATTCCGTCAATGTCGAAAGATTGCATATCTATTTCAGTTTGGTAATAACTTTTGTTAATAATATTTGTATATTATTTAGTTTTTTCCCCTACAATTTTATTCCTAGCTGATATTCTCTTTCATTTATTTGAAACAGTATGTTTCTTAAATGATCAAATATATAACTTCTTTATATTAGTATCACAACAGAAATGATTTCATGCCTTAATTTATTATTTTATACTTATAAGTACTACTTCATTAATATTTTTTTTTCAGTGGGTTACATCCAGAAAAATTGATCTCGAAAAAGAAGTTGAGAGTTTAAAAACAGTTTTGGAAATGAAAAACAAAGAATTACATTCACTTCGAATTCAAACTTTAGAAATGGAGAAACAGGTATGAAATTTTATTTGTCATAAGTGTTTTTGTATTAAGACAAGATAGACATTCAATCATTTTTATATCTGAAAAATGGGAAGAAAATAATCATTTTTAAAAAATTTGTAGTTAGTTTTCCAAAGGTTGCACAAAAACGAAAATCATGTAATGAAACCAAAACTAATTTCACATATTAAATCATTAAAGGTTAATAAGTGGAACATATTAGAATATAATGACAATTAAAGCAGACGCCTGAAATACCTAAGGGTAAGTTCAAAACCTAGCTGTCATATAAATATAGAGAACTAAATTTGCAGCATTTAATATTAGTCTACAGAAAATTTCCGTCTATTTTGACTAACTTATTTTCTTTAATTATAATTCCTTTAAATTTCAAGTCTCGTAAATTCTAATAACTTTCATTAAACTTTATACATATAGCATCATTATTCATTTGTGAAAGTAATTTATCTTTATAACGAGCTGAATGTCTATTTTTTGTATTGATTAAAAAAAAATATTTATAAATAATCGGAATTAACGCTCCATGATCATGCTTAAAACTGAAAGGAATGAACTGAATTGAAATTTAATTTCAATTTATTATTATTTGTTGACATTTTCAGCCATTTTAAGCAAATCGCGTTTCTAGAAATTTAAGTCATCAAAAGAAAGATTAACTATACTCAAAATAATTTAAGAGATTGACTCAAAGGAGGTCATCGAAAATATTGCTATTTATCTCATTCAACACTTGATAATCAAGTTTTACAACAATCTAGAAATTTACATTAACATCACATTTAGTTAAGATCAGATAGCTTACAAAGTAATAATTTCATTCTATTCCTGCTGTTTTTACTTGTGTTTCGTGACATAAAAAAAATGAAAGATAAATAAATTATTGAAGTACTTGATGATATAGCTTACCAGGAAAACTGCTTCTGATTCAATAGAGAAACAAATGTTACTGATCTTAAATAGTTGAAAAGAAAAAGTTCATTCTATGTGTTATGATGAGAGTTTTAGGAAAAACGCATCTCTCTCAAACAAAAACGAATTTCAATGATCTCTAGTACTGGGATCTTTTTTTTCGAATTTCAGGATCCTATCATAAAAGGTTCTGGAGTTAAAAGAGAGTAATATATACAGGCACAGAACTATTTTTATTTATTAAAGACAAACAGAATTATGAATAAATATTATTATTTTCCTAAAAATTGATATTATTATTTCAGCTTGAAGATTTACCTTTAGCAAGAGAAAAAATTAAGATGTTACAAGCCAGAGCTGAAGACCTGGAAGCTCTTATGATTGAAAAAACCAACTTGGAGAGGTAAAATAGTGACATTAGTAAACACTCCATACTTTAAAATGCTTGTATAATAACAAATTCTGCTTTATTTTCATGTAGGAAACTTTGCACAGAAAATCAATTGGTTAAAGATTCTTATGAAAAAGAAAATAAAATAAATAAGCGACTCTCTATGGAAAATGAAGAATTGCAATGGCGTCTGAGACAAGCAGAAAATTCTTTACTCTCTGGTTCTTTTGCTGAAGGTAAATATTAATATTTTTTTAAAATTTTTTTATATAAAATAATTTAATCTAAGTTTATTTCAAATTTCTTTATATGTTGCTTATTTTAACCTCTAACGGATCGTGATATGTTACAACGCGATTTTCTCTGCACAAACCACGATATCGTCTAAAAAACGAGCCTTTTTGACTTCAACGGATGTGATTTTAATTTGCAACGTTTTATTTCTATTCTTAAACCATACGAAATTTCGGTTGAAGTCCGTAATAATTTAGATTAATGTCGTCAAGTAAACATCTGCATGTCTTAGGCTTTTTCGAAAGAATTAGTGAATCAGGCACGTGAATTATTGCACTTAGGATTTTTTAAAAATATTTTGACAGAGAACGGAATACTTATCGGGTGTAGATTTGTTTGCAGTTTGGGGTTTCTAAATAATATTTTATAAGTTTTAGATCACATTTGAACATTTTATTCAGTTACTATCAATAATAATAAACTGTACATTTCAGCGTATTTAATTGTATTGATGATTTTATATATGAATTCTTAAATGAAATTAAATCTGAAAATAACCACTCACCGCATTGCGAGTCAAAGAAAAAAAGGGGCGACTTAAAATTAACAAACTACTGGTTACTTTTCCCCCATCATTTCATAAAAAATAAAAATCGTTTTGTGATAAAAGTATATCAATGTATAAAGAGAGACTCTGGAAAATAGAATTTTCATAAAAATGTCCAAATGTCTCCATTCAAAATCCATCAATTTGTGATGGAGAGATTCATGTGTAAGGAAAGTTCTTTAACAATTTAGATATTTCAAAGTTGTAATGTATACATGAAATGTATTTTGCCTCTCCAAATATTTTTAAATTTAGTTCTCAGTATGTTGAACTAAATTTTATCACACATTTATATTATATTCATTGTTGAATTATTATAGCGGTAGATTATTTCGAATAAAAAAATTTTTAAAAATATATGAAATTGAATCCAAACAAAAAATATAAAAAAAAGTTTGCAAAAAGTGGCTATTGAATAAAGGCCTATGATATCAGTCACCGACTGATTAGGTTTGAGGAAAAATTTGCTACTAAGTTATTAGAGTTTACTGGTCACTGGCTACTTACTAACTGAAAATTTAAGTTTTCGAGTCAATGGAAAATCGTCCGGTTCGTGCATAAGTATACTCTGGGAACGTGCAAACCTGAGAAAGAGCTTTTTTCGCCAATCTTGAAAAGGCCGCTTTACTGGAAATGACAAATTATGATGCACAACAACAGAAAAATGTGTAGCTCTTTTACTCCCCACTTTTATTGTTTTGAAATGTCTGAGGATGCATTAAAATTCTTTGCAATACAAAAGACAGCTCAAGTGATTGATATAATAGTTAGTAAAGGAGTTGAAAACTAGTTATAGTAAGGGTAATTTTTGACATTTCCGGATGGTAAAACAAGAGCAAAATGCTTTTTATAAAAAACTTCCAATCATAAGTAGGATGTATATGTATAATCTTGATGGTATTACAAAGAAAAAGTTTTGTAAAACTTAGAACCTAATTAAAAAAAAAAAACTGAAAAAATTTTTCTTTTCTTTTTGGTCCCATTATTTTGCAAATAAATTAGAATATTAAGTAAATACATTAAAATAATGAATAACGTTTAAACCTTTTGCCATTAATTACATAAGTTTAAGTAAAAAGGTATAGTATTAAAGTTCAGAATTTAGTATATTTAGGTAGTACTTTTTTTGAAATTTATACCAAATTCAGCTTACAATTTAAAAGCGTTATGCCAACTTTTTTGCAATAATGACCTAAACTGAGCACTCATAAAACTTTTTGTAGAGTAACTAAACTATGCATTTAACTACCATAATTTGGAACATGAACTTCTCTTAAAATTTTCCAAGCAGATAAGTATTGAAATTAAACATAAATGTTTAGTTTCAGAATATCCTGATGATGATGTTGAAAATGAAGCGTCCTCTCCGGTAAAGACTTCCCCAGCCCCTCAGATGTCTCGATCTGTCTTCTTCACATTTGTAGATAAGGATAATTCATCTCCAAGATCTCAGTACAAGAAAATCACTCCTGGTTTTGCAGCTAGCTACAGGGCCTCACCAGGCAGGACGCAGAAATCTTCATCCGCACCTAGTCCACGAAGGTCCAAGAGTCATTCAGAACCCCCTCAGCCTCCAACCACTCTATGCACACCTAGAAAAGTCATAAAACAGGCATCAAAGCGATCTCGTTCAGGCAGCGATTCTGGGCGACCGGCGACCCAACACACAGAAGTCACTTTCTCTTCTGTGACGGGCAGTATGACTTCATCTGTGAGCAGTGAGAGTTCTGTGTTTGGCAATAAGGAGCAACTTTTGGAAGAACACGAAGAGCAGATAATGGAAACTTTGCAAATTCTCCGAGAACAGCGGAGTGTGGAAAGTCCAACGCTATCCAACTCAGAGAATGAAGAATCCAAAGAATCATCCATGTCACCAGATTTTGGAACAGAAGACTTATCCCGTTCTTCGGAATTCTCGGATCCCAAAACCTACTATCACATGACATTTCCTGTTCCCAAAGAAGCAGGGATGATAGTCTATTGTGATAGTGAAGAAACAGGAAAGAGGAGTACAAGTGAGGAAACAACCCCTTCGGTTGAAGAACCCACAAAAATTGCACATTCCACAGAAAATAATGAGAATGCGGTCTCAAAAGATTTGAACAGTGTTTCAGAAGGTAGTCCTGAAAACCCAGAATTCAATACTTTGTCTGAAGTATCTGTTTCAGCTAACAACATTCAAAGCACAGAGTCACATAGCACTAATGGAGCACATGATCAATTGAGAACTATTTAAACTACCAATATTTATATAAACGAGCGAATTTATGTATATAAAATGAGTGTTTTGATTGTTGAAAATAAGAGCTTTGATTGGGAACAGTGAAAAAATATATCGATTAATGATACCATTGCCAAAACAATTTTTAAGGTTACATACTTAAAAATTATAAATATTCCTAAATATTTTATTTGTAAAAAAAAAAAATCCAAAACGTTTAAATGCTAAATAATAAAAATATTCCGTATATGTAGTATTTTATAACTCTTATATCTACCAAAATTTATGAATTAAAAAAAAAATTGGTTTATTGTGATTGACTATATGTAACTAAATTAAGCTGCATAATATGATATATATTTATAACGCAAGTAGTGAAACTAGCTTGCTCTACAAGAGATTATAAATCAGTTCAAAACTGAACTCCAATTAGAAAAAACAAATTTTCTTATCACAAACAATTTCTCAAAAATGTCCTTCTCCTAAATCCGGTGACTTGCAAAAGGCATTATTAGAGTGCCAGGTAGGCAAAGTTCATTTTCCATTCAATAAGTGTTTGTTGATGTTTTCATTGTTCCTGGATCTATACAGTGTTGGCCCATTGTTACAAAACTCTGTGCTCTCTGAATATTTTCTAGTCACTAGCAAATGTTAGTCAAGCTATTTAGTCTAACAATAAATTCAATTAAGCCATTATTATAAAACAAAATAATTTTAAGACCAGTGTTTGCAGAACTGCTTCTACAGCAATTGTTTCTTTATGCTTCCACTGTTTGCTCGAGATTATTTATTAGTTTTAAACGATATATGCAAAGTCGCTTTGGGGGGCCTTTTAAATATTCTCTAGGAAAAATGATTACTTATGATCTCTATTAAATGTATTGCAATCAAATATGTGATTTTGTTTTTCGAATTTCACTTCTAATAAAAACAATGTACAAAAAAGCTTTTGATTAATGGTAGGGATCTTCTAAATCCTAGAGAGAGAGGCCTGGGCAAATGCCCCTTATGACAGCTCTGTTTATTCACTATTTCTAATAATAATCACCTTTTTTTTATTTTATTGAGTATTTTAATCTATTGACTAAATTAAATGCGGCACATTGATTAATGTTTGAATTTTAATTCTGTATTAGTTTTCGTTAAAGTGATTCGATGATTATTTTATTTTATGAATTGTGATAAAATCACTTATTTACTGTTTTATTGCGAAGAAAAATCTTTAATTTGCTTGAAGTTTGACTAAAGCAGCTTTGTATAATTTATGGATGAGTGTTATGTATAATTTCTTATTGTATATATGCTGTGATGAAAAAAAAAAAAGAGTTCAGGCTTGTTAAAATGCTTGATTGTAAAAAACTAAGATTGAAAAGTGTAAATAAATAAATTTCTATGGATTAAAATACAAGCATATTAATTTTTCTAAATTATTATTATCTATATGGTTGGAGGGTTTATTTCATTTAGAGAGACATTAAATCCTGATTTGTGCATTTAGAATTAAACAGTGTGAAAGTACAGTAGTAAATTCAAACTACAAGATAAAACTGTAGATATCTTCTTAATGTTAAATAATACAGCCAACTTTTTCCACTGATTGCATTAGTTATTCAATTTACAGATAAGAACGAGTAAGTATTAAAACCGGGTTTTAAAAAAATCAAGTTATTTTTACAATAAGCTATTCTTTTTCAGTTATTAGTCTATTGTGCAAAAAGAAAAAAAAAATTAAAAACCTCATTCTTAAAGGAAAGGGAAAGAAATGAAAGCACAAACAAAAATATGTACAGCTATGTTATAAGTAACATTCTCAATGCAGAATATTATATCATGGAAGAGGCTTGTTTATAGCATATAAAAGCTGTAACAAATTTTAAATACTCCTATAAATTTTGTTTAAAAATTCTAGCATAACCCAAATTATATTTACCTCCAGAACTTTGTGAAGACATTGTTTTTAGTAGGGAAAAAAACATACTTTTCGCAACAGCTAAATTTGTTGCAAATTATGCTCTTCAAATTTTCTATTTTACTGAGAGAAAGAAAGTATGTTTTACAATTATTATGGTTATTTTCTCAAACATCTTCAATAGCAGAATTAAATTGATTATTGAGAGAAATAAAACACTTAGCATAGCATTAGTTAATTCTATGTAATAAATAAAACCTAATTAAAATTACTTTCTCAAATATTTAAGCCATTATTTGATTTTCCTAATGCATAAAAAACATGATAGTTAGTTATGTATTATGGTTAGGCCAACCTAACTAAAATAAAAAATAGTATATTATTTTAGTTTCTCAAAATTTTTAAATTTTAAAGTTCATAAAAGGAAGCGAAAAGACTAAATATAATATGTAATTTACGTAAATAAAAGTCGAAAAAACAGAATTTGCAAACTCTCATTTTCTTATAATTAAGAATGTGCTATATACAAAAGATGTGTAATATTTAAAATATTAGCATGATACAACCAACCCAAATAAAACTACTACAAAGTGCATAAAAAAATTGTATTTTCAGAAAAATGACTAGGTACATACAAGAAAACATTTACAAAATATAAAACTGATTGATTCAAAGCGTTCATTGAACATAATATACAACATACCTAACCCTGAAAAATAAGTATTAAAAAAAGTACATACGGTCCTCAATACATCATTTTTAAACTGTTACAAATACCAAAAATTCTTATTTTAATAGTGTTAAATTTATTAACCTGAAGTTCATTTAATTTCAATAGCAGGATAGCTTTTCAAGTTTTTGGGGTTTTGATAGCATTTTTATTTTGCATCAAAATCAGGCTCAAAAAGGTCTGATCGGTGGATATGAGTTCTTGACACTAAAAATATGGTGAAGTGAAAGATAGACACAAATCCTGAAAAATAATGATGCAGAAGAGCATTTGAAATACATAAAATTAATTTTACTTTTTGCATTTCTGCAGCTTATTCAAAGTAATCAACAAAAAAAAAATTGTGGCAAATTATAAGACTCATTTATTCAAAGATAATTCTACATAAAAAATTTGACTTAATAATGATCAAATATTTTTGAATTGCATGTAGTTTGTATAGGTGGCATTTTTTTAAAATTTTGTGTACATGATATACAAATTTTTTAAACCAAGTAATTTTAAAAATACTCTGTTCAGTGCTAAAAAAGTGATATTAATATTTAGGTGCACAAACTTTCAACTACTCTCTTGCCTAAACTACCTAAACCATATTTTCCAGTTTGCAGTTACAACCTTCAATTGATTTACATATTTAGTTTTAGAACCCCCATTCACTATTAAGATTTCATTATAGTACATGATCACAACAAAAATTATTAAAGTGTTCCATTTTTTTTTTTTTTTTTGTGCACAGTACACATTTAAAATAATAAGAAATTTCTTAGAATAAATGAAAGAAACTATTAATATTCTCAAACACAATTTAAACCATATTTAGCAACAGTAATAAAAAAGCATTACCCCTACTTAGCGTTTATTTAATTTTTACAAATAATATATCAGCAATATATATCTATATTAAATCATCAACCATAACACTCTAAATAGAACACAAAGAAAAGATAAAAATAATGAATGAAATATTAATATAAAATCATCACAGGTTATTTAACACATTTGTATGTATTTTAGTCTTGATCAGCAAAAGAAAATATATGTTCCCAAATAAAGCAAAAGAAAACTCCCGACATCAAGGATATAAATGACACATATTGTTATATAGCTGCAAAGTTCAATTGCTATTAACAGTAAAAATTTTAACCCATTAAATTATGAAAAAAGTCAAAGTTTAGACATGAAGAGGAGATCTGCATTAATCATGCAAGTTATTGACTCAAATGTATAAATAAGAACGTAACTATGTTTGTTAAAAAGCATGTTATACACTGAAAATGGAAATGCTTTTTTATATACAACAGTATTTAAATTTTTTAGATAAATGAAGGTTAAAAAATCATTTTGAAATGTAAATTGTCTTGTGATGAGACAGAACTAATAATTGGATTTTTCTTAGTTATAAAGTAAACATGATTTAATGACAAGATGATAACTATAAGCAATCATGAAAGAGAAAAAGTTTTGGATTGTGGAGCGAATAAGAATAATTAGTAAAAGCAAAAATTTTCTCTCAAATAATGAATAGAAAAAGTACTCTTAACGTATTTTTAATAGTTTTGCCAAAAATAAAGTAAAAATTATAAACACATTAAGAGATGCAAATTAATATTTTTGTAAGAATAACATATCATCAAAACAGTATCAATCATTATTGAGGAAAAATAATGATGATAAAAAGAAGACCAATTTGATTACAGGATAAAATTTGAAGGTCTTTAACGTCCAAACTATTTCTTCTGCCAATCTAATATATTTTAATGTTTTTAATATTGCCTTCGTCTTAAGTGATGCAGCAAAAATATTAATTGCAGTTTTACACATATTCAGGGCTTTTAATTAAGGAATATCTTTTATATGTCTGCGTGTGTGTGTGTAAATTATTTAATAGAAAATCAGAAGCTAAAACAATTTTTATCAAATACATGTAAAAATTAATAATATTTAACATGCACATTTTATTAAATATGTTCATTTGAGACACTGCATTTAATAATTTGATTCACATTTTCATCTAAAGTATCTTTTAAGTATGGATTAAAATTTTAGATTTAATAATGCAGTGTAATAAAAAAGTTGAAGTCATTAATAAGTTGTCATCAAGATGTTTAACACTATAAATACCAAAAATTAAAATTATAAAAATTCAAAACATTTATTTAGTTAACAAAATTGATTTTCAACACTATATTCAACTTAAATTTTAACCAAATTTGAGAAGAAATATTATTTAACCTCTGAGCATTTATGAGGTGTTTTAAAACTATTGTCTTTACGTCAAACTAAACTCAGTGGCGCAACAGCCCATAGAGGGCCAAGGCCTACTGAGCCCATCTCAGTTTTCTTGACCTTGGGCTCTGGGGTGCAGGAGCAGATGTTCCGGTCAGGTGGTCAACCGAAAGCGGAACCCCCAGTGTTTAGTTCCCAAGCATGCTTGGTACTCATTTATCGACCCACTGAAGGGATGAAAGGCTTAGTCAGCCTTGCCCGGCCCGAGGATGGAACCGTGGCACCGGAGCGAGAAGCGCTACCACCTTTACGTCAGTACCAAACAGTTTTTTCCCATATTATTTAGATAGAACGTAGGTATGGTAATGAGTAGTGTTGAGTAATAAGTATGTCATGAATATTTTATGTGCAAGTGCATGGAAAAAAAATCTTAAATTGCATACCCAAAACCTTTAATCATGCCTAGAAAACATCAAAGAGTCTGGGTTTTAAGGATTATTTTTTATACATTTTACTTTCTTTATCAAGAAAAAGATATATTGATAAGAATTTTTTTTTTAAATGAAATTAAAATGTGTTATAGAATGTCAAAGCATTTCATAGATAAATAAAAACAATATAGTAATAACAGCCAAGGGCGCCGGCAGAATAATATAAAAGGGCGTGCAACCCTCTAACAACCCCCCCCCCCAAAAAAANAAAAAAAAAATTTATTTTTTCTTTCTAAATATTCTGTTATTAGATTTTGTTTTGTTATTACATATACTTTAATCAGTTAATTTTTTTCAAGATAACATTTCTTCAAAGTTAACAAGATATTTTTAAAAAGGTACGAATTTACGTGGTACGAAATGTGGAGGAATAGAGAAAATTCTTATGAATCCCTCGAATACATCGATTTAGTTATTGAGGCCACACCGCTTTATCCAGCTGTAGCGGAGGCAATCAAAATAGGCCTAACTCTACCAGCTACTATGTGCACCATTGAACGCACTTTTAGTACAATGCGACGCATGAAAGCATGGAATCGGTCTACCATGTCTCGCAAGAGATTACTAAGTAGTTTGTGCATGCTCAGTGTGCATAAGAAAAGAATCAAAGATGACTCAGAATTCATTGAAAACGTTATAAACAGATTTGGACAGATAACAAGACGATTACAATTCTTGTTTGATTAAACAATTTTTTAATTGTTATATATCAATAATTACTTAATTATTTGTTTCTGAATAAAAATATTTTTAATAAAAAAAAGTTATACTCTTTAATTGTTTAAAAAAAAGCCAGGGGGCTGCAAGTGCACCCCCTTGCACCCTGCTGCCGGCGCCCATGATAACAGCATTTTTATATGCATTAACTTTGAATTTTTTTCTAAGAAATAATTTAAGTTTTTTCTTTTTATAACAGTGGCATTTTAAATTGTAATGAAATTGGAAACACGTATAAATCAAGGAGCTTATAGAAACTTTTTCAGAGCATTACATTAATTAAATATGTTAAAAATGAAGTACAATTTTTTTTTTTCTTAATATGAGAAATATTTTAATGAATATACCAGTCTTCATCATCAAATAAAGCAGAAATCCTATGATTCTGATGATTATTAATTAAGTTAATATGGAATAAAACTGATACCAGGGGCTAGGTTCAAAAGGGGTTTTGCTATTGAAGCCATAATTTTTTTGGCATATAACTTTAGCGCTGTTAGCAACATTCAAGCTAGAAAAAAAAGTTAATAAAAACTGTGCTCTCTTAAAAATCATTAAAGTGAAAAAATTACAGAAAGACACGACTGGGTCTTTTTTTTTCAAGGATAAATTGCACAATAAAAACTTATAAGTTACTCATAGCATGTACAATGCAAATTTTGTGCCCAGTTTAACATTCTTAAATATAGCACAGAATTGACAGCATTACAACAAATTACTATATTTTTGTTATTTAAAATAAAAAAGAAAAGAAAACATTTAAAAGCAATATCTGCTTTCTATTTTACTTATAAGTCCAAGTGTACCATATTAGCACATATTAAAAATATATAGAGGGAGAAATATAGTTAAGAAACATTATTAATGAGAAAACAACTCCTTACAAACTTAATGCTAAGATGATATGGCAATTACATAAGAAACATTTAAAATTCAAATAAAAAAAAATTTAATTTAAATTTAAAAAAACAAAACAATAAAATAATATTAATAATTGTTGATAATGTTTAAAAAAATCAACACATTTTTTTAAGATGAATGAAATTTCAATTAGAAATTTGTAGCATAGAAGAAAAAAAATAAACAATTTACTTTTTTTTCTTTGAACATAATTTATACGAATTAAAAGCATATATTGTACAAGTGTGAATAGGTATAGTGCAATATAGCTTAAATTTATTCCCGCATATCAAAGTATTAACTTATATTTTTATAAAATTGAATATAAATCAGTAAAATTTATAATATTTTCAAGAAAGCATCATAATGTTTCAATTAAAAAGCTAAGCTTCAATTTTGCTTCGGGATTTTCGAGTCTTTTCATGATTACTTGCTCGAATTTCGATCGGATCCTTCCGAATTCCATGATATCTCTTGGTTTTTCAGCTAACCAAAATTTGTCAAATTCATAAAAAAGATAACCTAAAATACAGACCTTTAAAATTAGACAAAAAATTTTTTTTCATACATCAGAGTAAACACTTTCCAAACAAACCCTAAAGATTTCCAGAGTTAAATTTGAAAAGTAAATTTAAACCAGCATATTTTAATGAATATAATGGTAATTTATTATTAATGACAAAAATATATATATATATTCAAAATTTTATCTGCAGAATATGTAAGAAACTATGAAGTCAGAGCAATTTATAACCAAAAACAAAGAGTAAAAAATAAAGCAATATTAAAATAGTCTTGATTTCAATTGTTTTTAGCTCATTAAAATGAAACAACAATAAAAGATAAAGTGTAAAAAAAATGAACCAAACATTAGGCAAACTAAACAAAACATAAAGACAATAAAAATAAAAAAGAAATGCTTGAACAAACTAGGCTTTTAAATGACATCTGATAGTGATGTAATCTGATTACTCTCTCATTTGCAATTTTCTACCAACTTTTTTAATGATTACGCACAATTTCATAATGGCGCCTCTTCTTAAAAACATTTTTACCATATTTATTTTTTTACTTATTTTATTATTTTTTAGTTTTACTAAACTTATCAAAAAAATATTTACTTTAGTTAGTTTTAATTCTGTTTGCAAGGCCAAAATAAATCTGTGATACTTATTCTTCTCTATGAGATTCCCTTTATTTCTTAAAGCAAATCTTTATAGCTATAAAATTGATTTTCAAACTCTACCCTTTAAACTACAAAAATTGCTGGGGATTAGCTTGAACTACAATAATTGCCAATAATTTAACTAAACATAACTTGAGATTGCAATGAGGTGTGGCTATTAAATAATAGGACTGATGCTCCCTCAAGAGAACTACGCCGAACATGGATGACCCACAGCTATGTAGTGGGAAGCATTTTCTTTCCCGCCAAACGAGTCTGTAAACAATTTAGTATGATGTGTCATGGCTTTGTACAAGAACTGCTATTTTGTTCTGCTGAAAAAAATAACGAGTGTAATAAATGAGCAACGAATCTTTTATGAAATTTCCCCTGGAATTTGAAAGAAACACAACAAAGAATATAAAAAGTGTATTAAATTAAATATTTATCACATGTTTGAGTTTTTTGGTGATTAAAACATTTCCAAGATAGCCCAGAAGACAGTCCCTTATCTGATCAACGGCTAACGAGTTGCGTGATTTCTGAAACTGTTGAATAGAATGGTGGAAAGAGTCACGAGTTCTTTATCAAAATAACGTCCCAACTCACTCTGCATTATCTATCAAGAAGTTTCCAGCCAAGTAGAACATCCCAGAGTTAAACCATCCACCTTAATCCCCCGACCTAGCACCATGAGAGTTTTGTTTGTTGTCCACAGTCCCATCTGCATTAAAAAGAGCAAGATGAAGTTGTAAAAGGTAACACAGCCCATGTCTTGAAGGAGCTTGTCAGGATTCCTCGCCCATGCATTTGATTGACTCCTGACCTGAGGGTCAGAGGTTGAGGGACACAGGAAGTAGCATTCCTTTAGAGTGGGGGTGGAGTAAGGAGAAGAGAAGGACTTTTTTTGGTGAGAAAATACTTTTAGTGCAGACAGGATGCGGAGAGATTTTGGATACAAAAGGGAGTAATGGAGCTTTTATGTATATTTTGGTATTTAATTTAAAGCATATATAATCCAGAACCCTAAAATAAATATACATTATGAAAAGTTCTTGTCATCATTAGGAGTGATCTAAACAAACAAACCGACACTAAAACCATCTCACAAAAGATGGACGTCACAGAGCTCACAGAAAAAGATTCCTAACATTGCTTCGAACAATCGAAATTTTGCACAGAGCGTTGGAGGGACAGAAGAGGGGTTAAAGGGGTTAATAACTAAAAATATTTCAATTTAAAATATAATGTTTTACAGCATCAGCCCTGTTATTTAATAACCACATCTCACAAAGTCACCATAAAATAAAACAAAACACTTACAATAAACATTATGAAAATCCTTGATGAGGGGTCGATCAGGAACAGTATTATAGAAATGAACAAGAAGATGCTGATCTTTAAGCAACTCTAGTGCCATACTTGTCAAATTTATTCCAACTATTGCAAATGAATACCTAAAATTTCATAAATAAATAGAAGAAGAATTTAACACAAAATATGCAATAAAACTACAGCATTTCACTGGCAACAGAGTATTATAATAAAAAAGAATATTAAAATCTTCAGTATGCATAGCTAACTAACTAGTTTGAAATAAAATTTCAATACAATAACAACTAAAATTGATTTTCAATGCGAAACTAAACTAGTCTAGAGCAGGAGCCTTTAAACCAGTGGTTCCCAGTTTATTGGGAACCCTAAATGAATGACCTCCTTTTGGCAAAACTCACTTCATAAAGAAAGTTCACTAACAATTCTGAGCCAAACAAAAACTAAAAATCATTTTGAATGTAAAGAAAGACATTTTTTCTATGTTTTACAAATAATAGTACTAAGATTTGGTTTTGTGTCAAGAAGTGCAAGCTAGAAGCAGTCTAATACTGAATTTGATTTTAGTGCATGCAATAATCTTAAAATGAATAAAATTAGCTGAGTTACAATTTCTATAAAAGTAAAAACGAACCATTGTATGGTTATCAGAGATCTACTTCTGCATTATTTGGATTTCATTGTTTACTTTGAGTTGAAAAGTTAGATGAATACTAATGCAGTTTTTAAGAAATGCACATCTTTTAATTAATTTATTCACATATTTTTTACGATAAAATATGCTTCAAAAGTTATCACTGATTAAATAAAAAAACATAGGATTCTGCGCGACACCACTTGTAATCACTAAACTTTTAAGACTAAGTTCCATACTAACTTCTCCACTTTATATATTTTACAATTTATATCATTTTTCAATTTTTTTTCCCTAGTAAAGCATTTTATTATTTCGAGTTATGTTAACTATATTTATCTAACATACTGTAATTGTGAAATGGGCAGAAGTTTTAGTTTCAGAACTAGGCAAAGAGTGAAATATCTATGATGTGAAAGTTATTATATGACAAATTTTACCATTCATCACAATCAAAACCAACTGTAAGAGGACAGATACCAGTAAAAGAACAATTAATTCTTACTTTAAAAAGTTTTGTGAAACACTTCTTCAAATCATTTCATCAAACATGAAATTGTAATTTAAAAATTGAATCAAGTTAAAAAGAAATTCTGATAAAATAGCAAAGAAACAAATTTCAACTGGCTTACCCATATACTGGATGTTTTGAATGAAGCAATACATGCCTGGCAGCATCATTATACTGAGCAGCAAAATATCTAAAATAAAATTAATTAATAAAACAAAAACATTTAATAATTTACAACATTTAATATTCGTGGTAATTACTTACAGCAAATTTTCTAATCCTAGAAGACCCATTCCTCGGAAATCAGTCTTTGGATCATCTCCTTGAAAGCCTATTTCACCCCACTGCTTTGAAATCCTATTTTTTAATTCTTCAGAAGGTTTTAACAAACTCCACAACTGAAAACATGCACAACATATCTTGTATTATAAGAATTATCTGAACTGAAATTTTAGACATAATTGATTTGCACATTTCTAGACACTATATAAATTTATCAAAAATAAATTTATATAGTATCTAGAAACAGAAAGAAAAAAATATTATTTTAAGAAAATGATGCTTTACTTTAAGCTTTAACAATATTAAATATAGTAAATTTTAAAGCATAGCTACCAAATCATATTTAGAATAATATTAATTCAATTAAAACTAATCTTAAAATTCTTAATTTTTGTATTTAACTGATTTGTTAAGATGTCTTTTATGTTTCATAACTTGAGTAAATATAATTAATAAAAATCACTTTCCTCTCATTTAATCATTTGGGCAAACGAAATCAGCCAATCAAATACTCAACTAACCAAATATCGCTAACCAAAATTTTGCAAATTTATAGATAATTATTTGCTTGTAATGATTAATAGTTTGTGTTTAAACCAAATAGATTTTATTTAAAAAAAATTGACCCTAATTTTCCTAAAAATAAATTTTTTTAACAGTTTTATTTTCTATTGTTTAAATTAATATTCTCAGTTTAAACATAATCAAATGAAAAAACAAAAAGTACATTTCATATTTTTTATTCAATTTCTTCAATTATTCTTTATTATTATATTAGCATATTTATGGAACAAAAATTTATATTTTTCATTTATTTATTAAAAATAATTCTACAATACGGAGCTTTTCTGATCTACATCACAGAGCTTTTGAAGCCTGCTCCAAATTTCTTAAACTTTTGAAAAGCTTATCCTTTAACAATTACAAAGGTTAATCATTCCACTGTTAATTTTTTAATTGATTGAATTCCTAATTTTCGTGTGAAGTAATTATTCCTTATTTAATAATAATTGCTTATAAATATTGTAAATATTTCTTTCAGAAAATTAAACTACAATAAAAAAGCTAAAATCATAAGAAAAACATTTGACAAACTTGGGGTACATTCCTACCGAATGTGCTTCGACCGTTCTACTTTAAAGGCACCAATCACGTTCTGAATTTCTTAATGTACATTTTATAGGAATTTTTGTTTCGATGCAAAAATGACAAAAAAAATATTGTTGGTGCAGCATTGGAAAGTATTTTGTATTAAAAGGAAAAGTTTGTTTTAAAAATAATTGAATCATTTCTTTATAACAAAAAAAGAAGGAAAGAATATCTACACGATTTTCTCAAGATAAAAATCAATTAAACTTTGCAGTTTGTTTTCTAACAACATTATCAGAACAGTTATGAGCAGGCTCTAAAGCACTGTTTTGTGGAAGGGACCCATTTATCAATAGTTGAAAAAGTTTTATTGAAATACTTTTAATGTATTAATTTCTTTTAGTTAAGAGTATAAAGTAATATTTGACCTTTTCTTCTAACTAAACCACACAAAAATAATTGAAACAAAAAAGAAGCAAGATGGTGTAAATCAAAAATACTGGGTTGTTCATTTGATTTATTTATATATTTTCTTTTTTTAAAAAAAAAGTATTCTTTCAGCCATGAGTGCAAATGAATTACTTTAATTATTTTAATTCTTTTTCACTCGTGGATACACTAAATGCATGGTCAATAGTATGGGGTCAATTTTCAAATCCGGTCTTTTTTACTAAAGTTTTAATTCTATGATTAGTTTTTTCTTCCTNTTTTTTTTTTTTTTTTTTTTTTTTTTTTTTTTTAATGAAGGTAAATAAACAGATGATTTAAAATTCAACTACACACATTTCATAACAAATAAGGTAAAACCTTTTTGTGAGAAATAAACTTTAAAATGGTTTTATCGTGGTTTTGTACCATGAAATATCAAAAAAAAAATAATAAATATTACAAATGGAATGTATAATTTACAATAAATGAATAACTTTAGTGGGGTATCATCTCACTCAGAAATGAGACGGTCAAAGAGGGTGCATCCCCTCCCTTTTCTGTCTCATGCACTCTGTAATGGTTCAATAAGCAGGCAGCATCTCCTTATTTGCTCCAAATTAAATGATGTTGACACTGAAAACACTTTTACTTTTGTAATTTTCCATTTATATAGAATAGCGAGACAGCATATGGTCATTTGGCAAAGACTGGTTGTAGGATTTAAAAAAAAATAAAAAAAAATCGAGAAATTTTATAAATTAATAATAACTAGAATTAAAACATTCTTAATTTTTTATTTGAATTAATTAAAGATAATGCTTAGGTGCCATATAAAAATGATACAAGAGTCAAAGCCATATTAAGCTTATTTGTCAACTTAAATTAACATATGAAATCATCGCAAAAGTTGCTGTTTTAAATTTAATGATATAATCGACTATCTTTTTTCTCTTACTATGTAAAGATACGCCAAAAAAATACTAATAGAAGATTAACAAATTATAGAACTCAGAGTTTTTTTCTTCTTTTGTACTCAAACCATTATTTATTTCAAGAAATTTAAATAATGTATGAGTTTTATTAATTTTTCGTACATTTAAATATTGTTAAAACAGAAAACTTTCTTGTCAGAAAACTTTTGTGTTGCAGTTTTAATTAAACTATTTTAGTTTTCTCTGATTGCACTCATCTTCCTTGCATATAAAATGTAACCAAACATAATTGATCAAAAGTGAAATACCACTTCTACGAAAGCGGAAGAAAAGAATTTTTATGGACAAATCATTGATAGCATTTTGCGCACACAACTATTAATCACAGAAAAAGAGTACAGATAAACTGCAAAATGGATAAACTACAAAACGTAAAATATTGACTACAGATACATGGGGGCTTACTATATTAATATATATTTATGAAACATCCTTTCTGTTAGTTTTGAACTAATTTAAATGAACAAAAGTATCTTCTTTACCTTCAGCAACTTCTGTTCATGTTCCGTGTTTTCAGACACATACTGAGTTTTGCGTAATATTTCAACCTCATAAAGTAATTGCCTACAACCATATATTTGATAGAGGCAAGTTCGATAATTCTTTATAAATCTGAAAATCATAAATCATCTTAAGAACAATAAAAAATATTGTTTCAAACAATTTTTATACATTAAAATATTTCAGAATATTGATACTTACGGCATATGAAAATCGGGCTTTATACCTTTGACATCAAGTGTAACTCTGATAGCATAGTCAACACAGCTTTTACTGGTTTTGTCTATAAATCTACCCTGTGAAGCTAAATTTTTCAGCTGATCCACCATGTTCTGCATTTCTTTAACTTGAGATAAGTTCAGAGACAACTCTAGAAAGACAAAATATTTTAAAAAATGACCAGACAACATTCAAATAACTTTGCCGGGATGCATTTAAGGGAGTTTTTTAGGTTAAGTTGAATCCTTTTAAAATTAATTTTATTATTAAATCAATAATAGTTTACTTTGTTAATTTTTTAAAAAAAAATATTAACAAATTATTAACAATCTATTTGAAAAAACAAATTGGTAAATGAAAAAGAGCTATTAGTTTGATAAGATGGAGAAAATAACACCTTACTTCTAATAACTTACTCATCTTTTACAACATTAAAGTTATAATAATAAAATTATTTGGTGTCATAATAATATAAAAAAAAGTAGACGAGCAAGATTGAAGCAAAACAATAAATCTTAGTGATGAAGAAGAAATTGAGGATTTGTCACAGTATGGGAAAAATGCATTATGTCTCTGTTCATGCAGCAGTTGATGAAAATGTTAAAACTTGTACTGTAGACAGTTCAAGAAATGATTGCAGAAGCTGAAGAAATGCAAAATGATGAAATGGGACTCGCTAGTGTGGAAGGCATTACAACAATGAGGAACTTTCTGCATTCATGAGAGCTTTCAGAAAATAAGCAGCAATCTGTTATAAGTCAAACATTCATTATTACAACTGTGAAAAAAAAGAGTCAATTCAAACCCAATTTTCCATACATCTTTAATAAATAATGTGCTGATTCATATTTTTGCAAAGTAAAACTTTTTGGTACTTATTGTAAATTTCAGAGTCCAACATTTACTCTTTAATTACTTTTCATAAATTTTCAGGTCATTATATGATATTTTATGTTAATCAGCAGTCCTGGTTCACTATGAATGGTTGCATGAGAAACGATTGATGAAGGTTCTACTATATCTGAATCTGTTAGCGCAATGAGAAAGAGATGTAATAACCACATCTGAGAGAGGTGACATAAAAAGATGCCTTGAAAAAAGGAAGCTAGGCCAAGGATGGGTGGTGTAGTATGTTAATTAGAAAATATTTCTAAATTAAATATTATAATACTTTAAAAGTAAATAACATTAATAGCTGCATTTAATGAATCAGAAATGGAAGTGAGGTCTCCTACCATTTCAGAATTATATAAATAAATAATTAATCATAAAGAATCATATAATTTAAATGCTGAACTCTAACATAATAACTTCTTTGATGGACACATTTTTAAGGGAGCTTTTTTTTTCATGCCTATGTTGCACCAACTCTCTGCCATGACCTCGCTATGAATCACTTCGTTACAAGAGTTGAACTGCTTTTCAGCAAACTGGAAGAATAGGTTCTAGTTGCTGGCTAGTAAGCTCCTACTTTCAGGCGTGTCTGACGATTATATTCCAGCCAGAGCTATATCAGAAAAATGATGATTTATAAGGCAAAAAAATTATGTTGAGTGCTATCTCAAGGCCATAGTGGGGAGCTGGTATGATCCAGGGACAAAAACTGACGCAGGGTCTATAAAAATATCACAATCAAAAAGATAATTAAGTTAAAAATAAAAATGTTCTAATTTTAAAATATGTCCTATTATTAAAACTGATTTCAGTATCAAGGAAAAATTTTTAGAAAACCTTATTTTTGGGATAAATAATTCAACCATAAACTTCCAAATGTTCTAAGAAAAGGATATAAAGAACTAGACAAAATCAAAAAGAATTGAAAAATGGATGACAACCAATGAAATAAAACGAAAAACAATCAACCATGAAAGTGAGACATATTCTGAGGTAAAGGAAGACCTTAAAAGCCTGAAGACAAAAAAAATTAGAATATAAAGGGCAAATGTTGCCTTTGAGTTCAGTTTCTAGGAAGGTTATGATTCTGTACTGTCAAGGAATAAGTATCTTTGGTACTATCCTCATATCTAACAATACAATAGGAATTCAAAGATATTTATTTTATTATATAGAAACTATCAATCAATAAAAGAAAGTTAACCTACAGAAATAAAAGAGCAATGTGAGCATAGGTCTACAGTGATGTCACCCTAGCCAAAGTGTTGTTGCACCAAATCCCTAGATTATTTCATATTTACAGATAAAGAAAGAAAAAAAAAAAAATTATTAATAAAAGACAATAAAGAAGAAATAGTTAGAGATATTTTTAAATGAACATAAAATTTTTAGTAAAAATTAAGAGATAAATATTTTTTTTCTCCTAAAAAGTTTTCTTGATTGAATTGTCAGAGGATATTTTAAATTTTGCGTTTATATAATGTTTAAAAAATAAAGTGTAATTTCAAAAATTAAAATCTTTTCAAATATCCTACTATTTTTAAATGATGCTTAAGCAGACAAACAATTACATAACAAAATTTTAAAGTCTCTTTAAAAGAATTCAATTTCAATCACTTTCAAAATACGAATTTACTTTACGTACAATCAATAAAAAAGATATATTGAATTAGAAATGTTATAAGATCCATACCAATTTTATTTGTTCGATTAAAACCAAAACTTTCACCGTAGCAAATTCTTTGTAACTCACATAGCCTAGTAGTTTTTCTTAAGAACCACTTAACAACAGGTCGTATGTACCAATATACATATGCACAAAATCCAGCTATCATAGACAGCATGTCAAAATATAACAAGGTACGCTCGAAACATTAGTTTAAATCTCTTTTAAAAATCTTATCATTCCAGCTTATGTGGAGAAAAATAACTCATATACTTCTCATCCGCAAATCCAGCATATTTGTTTACATAACAACAGGATTCTCTTTGTCATAACTATTGCCAACATAGCTCTAACGAATATGAATAATTGTTAAGGAAGCAGTAGCCGAGAATACTTACTCATAGGAATATTCACACTAGAGGCAAAAAAATCACGGGTACGAAGTGCGAATAGGAATCTGATTGACCAGTTTTCCGAAGATATTTTCTCTCGCCGAAACCGGTGTATAGCCGATAAGCGATTAGCCTCCAATTTCAAATATTTGTCATTCATTGAGCGACAGTCCCGTTTGTCCATCGCTATAAACTATTATCAAATATATATATAGCACTATTTCACAACTTTTAACAATGCCATATGCATGTGTAGTTCCAAAATGTAAGAAAGAACTAAAAAAATTATCCTTAAGTATCAGTTTTTAAGTTTCCGAAAAGTGAGAAAATGGATTAATTTCATTAAACGAGACAGTTTTCAATGAACAGTTAATAGTTGAGAAGTGTTATTTATCTTTTATATTTTAATATTCGTCTCTGCAGACTTTATAATAAGCTTCTTAAATGCGTAATGAAAGAAGTTGTATTTAAAAATTACAATGTTTTAGGTATTGCTTATTGTTAGCGAATATTCGAACATAAAACTAGCAAAGCATTCGTTCCTTTGCAAAACTTTTAGACTTGAAATAAAACGAATTTAAACATCATTTGTCTTGTTTAAATATGTATATAAACAAATATCAGCGGTCATTAAAAGGATAAAATTTTTATTATTTAAAAAAAAACTAGCAAAATTAAAGCTTTAGTTATATTTTTAAAAGAAAGAAAAATTAATAACAATGTTGATTGGCACTTGAAGCTTATTTATTATTAACGATAGCTTACGATCATTTGAGTAAAATTTCAAATTCAAAAAACTCCGATGCATTATATCATATTAATAAAAAATGAATTTAATCCATTGTCAGCTATTTTAATTTTTGTACGCTATAATTTTATATGAATATTAATGAAACTGTTGTTCATGCTTAATATGGTATGAATCTTTCTAACACAGATAAATTGTTTTTCTGTATCTTATTGTAAGCAGTCAAATGTTTCAAGGGCGAGCATAAGTATGACTTGTTGCAACGTGCGTAAATATTGTTTTTGGAATTATTATGTTTTTATGTCGAGTTTAGATTCGAATACGATTAAATAAAGATATATTTAAGATATACGTTTAATATCTCTTACAATTCAGAAGTGGGGTTAAAAGAACGGTAATTTGTAGTTTATGTTTCTTTTCTTTCTAAATTTACGATGTCTTATTTATGTAAAGTTCGTAAGTCAGAGTTACAGGTTATTGCAATGGAACTTGGCGAAGAAGTACAAGATGCTTTTAAGGTTGTAGATCTAAAAACTTGATTTTAAATAGTAAAAACTATGATGAGGATTTGGTACAAGGACTGATATTCAATTTAAATGCTGACAGAGAAGCCGCTGCTGCTGAGAAAGAAGCTATGAGAAATCATGAATTAGAAATGAGAAAATTGGAACTAGGGAACGTTGGCACTGGCACTTATTTGCCTATTGATTCTCCAAAACCGAAAATAGACTGGCAATCTCAGTTAAGATACTTTGATTCGAAAAATGACGACATAAGTTTATTTTTAGTGCATTTCGAAAGAGTAATGAAACGAGTTAAAATGGAGCTAAATTTATGGGTGGCTTGTTTGACTAGTGCTTTACCAAGAGATATAGTTGAAATAATTATGCGAGAATCAGAAGAATTAGCGGAAAACTATTCTCATGTGAAGGAATTGTTACTAAAACGATATAAATTAAGTCCTGAAAAATTTAGACAGTTGTTTTATTCGCATAAAATTAAAATTAATAGCACTTGGCGAGAATATTACTATGAACTTGAAACATTTTTTGATGGATGGATAAAAGGTTTAAATATAAAAACAGTGGAAGATTTAAAAAATTTTATTATATTAGACAGAATTAAGCAAAGTGCACCAGCAGCAGTTCAAGAATATTATGTCAGTGAGTGGTCCTTGTTGAAGTCGCCAATGTTATTAGTGAATAAAATTGATGATTATATTGAACTGAAAGAGTTGTACAAAAATAACTCTCAGGTACCCTCTCTATGTGATCAATATGGAGTAAAAGGAAATGATCAAGTTATTAGAATCAAAGGGTTAGAATCCATAATATGTTATAATTGTTCTGAAAAAGGACATTATTCTCGTGACTGCTCTAAGCCAAAGCGTCCAAAATTTTGTACATTTTGTCGCACAGAAGCATACGGTACGAAAGATTGTCCAAAAAAAATTAGCAAACCGTCAGTAAATGTTTCAACGTTATCACCCCTTGAAAATCTTACTACTAGTGTTGCTGCTCCAAGAAGCACGAGACAATATTTTGAAATCACAAGAAAAAATGAAATTATCTTTCGATAAAAGACATTGCGACGCACATAAATATTCGGTCGGAGATGTAGTCGTTGTAAAGAGACTTCCGGAGAAAACTGGATTGGGTACAAAAACTCAATCTCGCTATAGAGGCCCTCTTGTAGTAATGAAGGTCTTGCCGTCCGACGTATATCAAGTCACAGATTTTAGAAAATCTGGACAAGGCCGCACAAGACGGGCTTACACTACAACTGCTCAAATGAAATTATTTCATATTGTAAATGATGATGACGTATCACAAAATGATGACTCATTGTTTTACGAAGATGACGATGATAATGAACCATCGATAATCACCGACTCGCTAAATCTGTCTCAGATTTCTGAAGACACATCTAGAGATGAGTTCAACAGAAAAGACCAAAAAAATTGCCTTCCTATTTAAAGGACTTTAGTTGACTCTTTTGATTTTTGTTGTTTTCATGGATGGGGTCATCCATTTATAGGATGGCCGAATGTAAGCAGTCAAATGTTTCAAGGGCGAGCATAAGTATGACTTGTCGTAAATGTTGTTTTTGGAATTATTATGTTTTTATGTCGAGTTTAGATTCGAATACGATTGAATAAAGATATATNGTATGAATCTTTCTAACACAGATAAATTGTTTTTCTGTATCTTATGATGATGTCTTAAATAATTTTTTACTATTTTATAATTTGTCATTATAATTGTTATTATAAATTAATTTTAATGCTTCATTAACCAAAGATCATCAAAAGTGTTGGAAAATAATTCATTACCTGAATTAAAATTTCAAATAACACTCTGAAAAATATTTATCCTTCTGTCAGTATTTTTTATAAAGTTTTGTGCGTTTTTTGACAACAAAAAAACATGGGTTTTTTCCAGCAAAAATGAAAACATTACAACGAAACGAAACAATATTACTAATTTTTGAAAATTAATTGATTTCCATTTGACTAAGCGCGGAATGCAAATTAAAAGGTGTTTGTTTTAGCTTAATTTTAAAAATAAAATGATTTTTTTAGGGTACTTTGACCCCGTAATCATTGAGAAGTTTAAATCAAATTTGCATATTTTAGATTTGGATGAGTTCTGAAAATTTTTTTGTTAGAATTTTTTTCTCACATTTTTACATGCGCTGGCGAATAAAAACGAAAACTATCGAACATGAAAGTAATTTCGATAACGTTTCTTTAATGCGACTCTTAATTGAATGCATTTCTTTGTTTTCATTTTCAACATTTATTAAATTATATTAACTATTTTAAAATAAAAATTTTATGAATGTGCCAATAAAATTATAATTTCCTTATTTGTTTCTTTTCTGTCATGATATAACATGTTTTTATTTGTCTCGTATTCGTTTCCTTTTTAAAATGTAGGGGAGAGTCGGGTAGCCCCGCTCACTTAAGGAGTATTGCTTATATTTCTGTATAATTTTGAGTAATAATCAATATTTCAGTATGTTTCTATTGTTTTATCATCTAATTAAATAATACAAAAAAGAATAAACCAAAAAAGAATAGTTCAACTTAAAAAAATAGAAATTTAAAAATACATGTTTTCCAGCTCTTTTCAAAATGTGTCGGGTAGCCCCGCCCAGTTACAAAAATGATGTTTTTTGACTGTTTTTTCAGGTGTAAATGAGAATGACCAAAGTATTGACAACAGATAAACCTTATTTATCATTTTTATCACAAAATTATTTTATTTATTACATATTNTCTGCTAAACAAATAAAAAAAAATTTTTAATCTTTTAAGTAAACAAACTTTATTATAATAATCATTTCATTATAGGATTAAAAGTTATTGAGAAATTATTAATTCGAATTAGTGGATGAGTGGGAAAAGAATTTTACTACTCGAAATACATTTAATGAACAACAGATACAAACGATTATGTCGGCCCTATAACAAAAAAATACGCTTTATATTTTATATGATGCAGAAGAATCAAATGAAGACCCGCTTAATTGAAATGTCGCACCCATATCTAACTTGTTGAATGTTATGCGAAACCGAAAACAAAACAAAATCATAAGCACACAGCTGTTTGGCGATTTGCGAGAACGCTCCTTTAACGCCAATAGAAATTTTCGCCAACCCTTTGCAATCTACGGTATGTTTTGTCAATTCGCGAGCGGGGCTACCCGAAATCCAATTTTTTTGTAAATTTGTAATTACTCGAACAATTTTTCACATATAAACTTCCTTCTTTGTGCACATTAAACTCAAGACTACATACTTTAATGCTGTATGTATAGAAAATATTATTTTTTTAGTATTAAAATGAAGTTTTATCGAAACATTAAACCAATTTTTTTTAATTTCATGATTACTGTATTTAACATATTTTCAAAACTATTGTTTACCATGTTGCCAGCTGCATAAATACTTGAAACTTTGAAAATAATCTTTTTTTAATATAACAATTAACGTCTGATGGCCCATTGACTTGAAAAAATATTCTATACATATGAAATTGAAAGTGGGCGGGGATACCCGACACTCCCCTATATAATTTCTTATTTTCAAAGATCTAATAATTGATTACACATCAGAAAATAATAAATTATACACTTAAGGAAGGTTTATTCTTTAGATATTGAAAACAGTTATGATGAATCAAGATTTAAAATAAAAAAAACCTTTTTAAATCAATTTCTATCATGG